TATATCTTCTGTAAAATATTTAGATTTTAATAGGACCAATACAAGTATGATATGATACCATGTAATTCAGGATGGTGCTTGATAAACAATTAAATAAGTGAATCCAAAAGCTTAATATAAATGAATACACCGTAAAACTAATATGTCTATTAAACATAATAAGAAGAATAAGAGAATATCATTTTCACAAAAATACTTTCAGCCTCTAAGAAGTCATTAGATGACAATGAAATTTGAGCTTTTACATCCTCATAAGCGCTCACTTAATTACTTCACAGTAAATCTCACTCGGGGCCAAATAATGAATCAACATGACTAAATTCCCTTCATCTTTTAATACTCAACAGATTGTCAGTGACTAAATTGTTTATCTCTGTTATCTTTAATCAAGGAAATTTATTTTAAATACTTAACTATTGAGTCTGAACGTGCGGTACGAAAACTTACTTTGGACATCATTACAGATAAAGTTATAGGTCATGTAAAGTTCAGAAGTCGGCTTATTAGAGATTACACAATCTACATCTTTTTATGTATTAAGTACTGGCACTTTCCTTACAAAACGAATTTCGTCTACTGAACCTTATGCTACATTTCATTGAGTGTCTTACTACCTATTTCCAAGTCTTTCCTTACACTGATGGACCTAGTGGGAAACACCTGACTGATTGGTAAGGAAGTAAGCTAATCATACCTAGCCATCACCTAGTCTGACTCGACCAGCTCAACAGCAGCTCGGATAAATCAAGACATAATATCAATCCACGAAACCACTGACTTCTGATTTAAGCCATATCAGATGCCACAGATTTCCTCGTTTGAGTTCATCACAATACTCATAATTAATGGTTGGTTCTGAGTGACATGGCTCGAAATCGATTGCAATGGGATATTTGGATTCCTTCTTTAGGTTTCCGTGGAACTTGAATTGAGTGTCATTCCCAACTTTCCAATCTTTGTTCTGTTTAGTCAGGATCTCCAACTGTAGTTGATTTTATTAACTCTCCTTTGTTTATTTTCTTATGTGAACTACCTGTATTGCTGCATTTGTGTAAGGTGAAACAACTTAGACTGATACTTATCCGTACCGGATCAGATGTTAACCAATAAAAAGTTTTAACCCTAAAGTTTTACTCTTTATTACCTTAAGCTTTCATTAATCTAATAATAATCCCAAAACTGTTACAGGACAAATCAGTAATATGCAACTTTTTATAACATGGTCAAAATATTAGGTATTTTGTTAACGAAACTTTGATAAAGTCGAATAAACCATCTGTGATAAATAACTTTTAGATTTGTTTCATTTATTTTTTGAATATAACTTAACGGTATCTCCATCTAGGATATAATTTTATTTCATCTGTAGTTGAGTGAATTTCTATCCAGCTTAACAAGTGAGCATAGATTTATTCGACTTCCACAATTACCTAAACTTTACTACTCATCAGCTTTATTCTTAATAATAAAAGATTTTCTGATGAAAAAGAAAACGTCGTTATTATCATTAATGATTATACAATGCTATGGTAACCTGGAAGCAATTATCATTTAGTTTACATTGATAAGTAACAGTTTATATTTAGTATCGTAAGCCTCCATGAGTTTATTTCTTAAGCTTAACGTATATCTGTAATCATTGTAATACAATATTATTCTTCATTCCGCTGAACGTTTTAATAATTTCGTGTATTATGAAGAAAACAAAACAAATAAAACATTGAACATCTTTATAAATTATGTCAAAATAACATTGATATGGTGGAGAAGAATTTTAGCTCAGGTGAATGATCTTGATGGAGTTTTATTCTCTCAACTGAATGGTTTGGTCGTGGAGTTTTCATCGTTCATTTTTTGTTCAGAAGAACGATGATAGCTCCATGATCAAACTGTCCAGCTTAGAGAACAAAACTCCATCAAAAAGAAAATAACATTGTTCAACTTATTCAATTCATGCCTTATTATGAACTTATAACTGTAGAGCCTAATGATGAATTTACTGAAAACAATTATTTTTGAGTATGAAAATTCATTTTTAAATCATGTGCAAACTGTATGTATCTAATAAGTAAAAGAATTTCTACATTATTACGTAAAGAAACGTATACATATATGCACTATTTTAATTGAAAATATTTTCTTTTTGGAAAAGAACAAAACTATATGATGAATGGAACTTATTTTGTAACATCATATATATTAATTTTTCTGCGCTATCTGTCAACAATCTTAAATTGTAAATATAAAGAGAGAAAAAAAAGAGGAAAAAACAGAAGATAATAAAGTTATAATCTTTAACATTGAATACAATGATGAGATTGATTGTACATTTAGTGTTTAATATTGAATTACAGAAAATGTAAATGATCAAGACAAAATTAGGAACTTTTCAAAGTATGAAATCGTTTGTTTTTGGAATAATACATTCATTGATTAGAAAAAATAATAGTGTATTGAAGATCAAGAAATAATAATTACTATAAAACTTTGTTAAGCCATTTGTTCACTGTTGTATCAATCAATTAGATGATTACTGAGCAATTTACAGATTTTTTTGATTATAATGTATGGTGTCAAAACTGGTTCATAAACGTATCGAGTGGCATATCTGTAAACCACTTGACAGAATAATCATAAAAATAACTATATTTGAAATATATTTTCTCTAGATGATGATCCTTCAATATCAGGAAATGTTTGAAGTTGAAAAACCTAATCACGGAAACATTATGCACACAGTTACTATACGAATTTTCTACCAACGTAACAATAGTATACAAATAAGTGTTAGATTGTTATAGATAGTCAACAGAAATCCCAAGAGTTAGGTTTTCTGTTAGATGACACTCTTTAGTAAGACCTATCTAAACTGATGCATCCTTTGGGATTTGAATCATCTTCACACAATTGAATTGCTTAGTGGTAGCATATCAGACTGTGAAGGTCGCTGTTGTGGACTTGATTAGTAGGATTCGAACGACATTAAAAGGTCTGACAAACAAGACTTTAGTCACTACTCAATGAACAATAAGTTACATATATACAAATGAATGTTACATCTCTATCCTGATTCTTCATTAACTTTTATTCAATTACACCTTTAATTCTTACTAGTCCTTCCAAATAACTACCGAACAATACTAAATTGGTCTGTATATGTGGTCAACTGTAGATGGATATAAAAAAGGTCAATTCCAAATGGATTCGTGATCATAGTCGAAAAAGGATAATTCTTAATACTAGGATCGATGGAAATTAACCTCATTCAACAAATATACTATTAGAAGGTCACTTCCATAACTTGACTGATGAACAAACAGAATAGAAAAACTGATCATTTGGAATTTCATAAAATTTACCTCTAAGTATTGATTTTGAAAAGTAAAGTATGTTTATAACTTTAATGAAACTGTAATCTACCTTAACAATCAAAAGTTATTTATAGTAAATTGTGATAAAGATTTGAGAGTTTTAAAAGAGTTATAACATGATCTAATTGAAAAAAAAACTGTCAAGTCTGTCATCCAGTAAGGTATAAATAGAAAACTAGTAAAGAAAAAAGACAAGATTTTATGACATAATATACAGTCATTATATTTTAATCATTCTTATGTGGCTAATACACCTTATGGATTGAAAATGTCATTTGACTACTACTTTTAGTAATATTGAATAATGAATCCCTTCAAGGTGAGATAAATGAGTAAACAAAATTCTTTATCAACTATTTTCTTATGACTATTTCTTAATTCATGATATTAATGCTTTATTTTTGACTTCTCTCATATTGTATTCCTATATTACTTAGTTACAATAGTATATCTCATAGATCATTCATAATATCAACCTTGAACATTAATACAATCACTTAAAAATCAATTAAAACTTACTCTTTTAATAAATCAATATGAAAGATAATAATGAGGGTGAATATGTAACATAATCAAAAGTAATAAATTAAGATTGACCTAAATTTTATTAATTTTAATAATTGATAATTTTATACATCTTTGATCTAGAATTCCCATTTTCCTATTTTACAGTGAATTCATTGAACAAAATAACCTTTTTAAAAAAATGCTAATCAGAGGATGAATAGTTTTATACTGTTCTTTTAAATATGTACTTTTCCATCTATTCACATAGCAGTTAGCCTTATAATTTAAACTGAATCTATATATATATAACGAATAGTGTAACCTATTATATGTACAAAGTAATCGTGGAAGTGAGATTATCTCTTCCTGTATACCTTAACCTAATAATAATGATAATAATACGTTCAACTGTTCGTCTTATTTTTAAAATCTTTTTTTTCATTCTATTTATTTTTATTATATAAAGAAAACGCCCATTTTTATTAGGAAAACTGAATATTGAGTTCACGGGCATGTTTATCATCACATATTCGTTGAAATATATAAAAATAAATACTTTAAAACAAAACATATTAGTTCCAGATGAATAAGAAGCAGTAAACAATGAGAAACCTGGATTGCATGCTTTATTCTTGATGAAATGAGGTGGAAAACAAAAATTGTAGAAAAAATAATAAATCAATCGTTGAACATTCAATTGATCAACTGATTGGTTGATTGATTGGTACTAATGTATACAACTGAGCAGTAAAGCTCCTGTTTCGAGTCGTTCATATAAGTTTTTAGACTAAACTAAAAGGTACACGCATAACGCAAATATTAACCATATTTATTGAAACTATGTGTAATGAATTAGAACCGATGACCACACTGTTGAACAATACTATTGTAAGAAGGTTAAAGGTGACATACATGAAGTAATTAGAAGAAATTAATAGTAATGTCTGTTAATAATATGAAGCAGTCAGTTCTTTTAAACAATGATGAATATAATATCCGTTGAACAAGTTGTTTAGTTATCATGACTCGGTACGTTAGTGGACAATGAATTAGAGTTTAAAGAAATAATTATTGAGATGAGGTTATATTCAAATAAAAAGCCCTAAATTGAACAGAACTTACATCCAGAACTTGACTCTCACTCATTCGCCAAACACTTAGTAAAATATATTACTACCAGCAGTGTGTCGATACATCATCTCATTGAACCCATCCGAAAACTTCAATGAGAACTACACTTTAATATATGATACTCAACCAGTAAACGGACAGATAAATGTTTGAAATTGCTGGCTACTTTACACTTAGTAAGCATTGAAAGCGTTGGATACAACTTCAGCCTGGGAATAATTGGAGAGAAAAACGTTAGCGTTGGAGTAGAGAAAAATTTTTAAAACCTGATTTCCGTTTGAGTAACTGGGAGATATATTTTTTATTTCAAGACAAGTTTTTATACAAAATAACAAAAATATGGATTTAATATTTTGTCATTATATATTTATTTTATGCATTAAGGCTTTGTTTCCTTACATTTGAACTCATTGATTAAGCCTTGGGAAGTATTTCAAGTTATTGGTTAATACCGTTGTTGTTTAAAATAAGCCTATTCAGAATGCCTTAGTGGTGGAAGTGTATACCCAAAACGCAGAAACTTAAAGTATCCTCAAATTTTCCTATTTCTATACTAAGTTTCTGTTAGCATATGGGCTGTTTGGTTAAGTAATTCCATATTGCTCGTAGTAACCATGCCTGGGATTTGTCTGTCGTTGTAAAATGCTTAAGTAAAGTCCTGAATATTAAGATTGTAAAACTGCAATCCCTTATAAATAATAATATCACATTTAATGAACAAGTTATGTGGTTATTTTAACTCACTACATCAATAAATAATGCACTTGAAGTGATAGGAACTGAGTTCGAGTCTCAACCTGGACATTAACAATCGAACATTAGTACATCCAGTTGATCATATGAATGAATTAGAACAGCATTTTGATCTACCTCAACCGAAGATCCTGATTTTGATCCTCAGGAGGTTAGTGGATACGCGCTCACGAGGAGTCTCATACTAAAATGAAATGGTTGTTTGGTATTTCCCGGTTTTCAATAGTTGTCTTATTAAAATCAGTCCTTGATATAAATTATTTTATCATACTTTAATATTCTACAGTAACGTTCATTCAAGATTTATTGTGTATTTCTATTTTTAGTAAATCTTTGATTGACGATATCATTTTATGATGAAAACTGTCTCCAAACTAGAATTATAGCTACCTTGAAAAATAACTACTAAATTTTATCTTGATAAACCCTTGGTATTTTTTATTCTGCACCATATTTTGAAAGTGCATAAATCAATTTACATTACACAATTTATTGTATGATTAAATGTTTTATTTTTTTATGTTATTCGGCTAAATTAACGTGAGACCTTACACAAATATACATCGATTCAAATTACTAAATTATACTACCACACCAATAAAAAGTCAAGAAGATTGAAAGTAAAGTTGTCGAAGTAACAGTAATGTTTGTGATTACAAAAGTGGATTATCACAGCGAAAAAAATAATTTGAAAAAAAGAGGAATGGATTTATTGAATAAAATACATGAAATAATTATGGATTTCGGGATCTGCTACCGATTAAAAATTATACCATTCAATATCATCAGATACCAATTACCCTTATGACGTAAACTCCAACCATGTTGTTCTCACTTACCCATATTGGTGAGATTAGTTTAACGATCAGTTAGGATGATACCATGACTTAGTATGGTCAACCCTAACTTAAAGGAAGATAAAATGCTCTAATATGCTATGATTTTGATGTAACTAAACATATTCTGCATTAGAAACTATCATAGAATAAACAGTATAAAAACCTAAAAGTATTTGAAAACCATTATATTCCATTTTGATGAGAGACCGCTTAAGTTTTATCGGTATATTTTGGCTTTTCTATCGGTATAATTAATGTTTTAAAACAATAATTAAGATAGATAACATCAAAATATAAATTCGGTCAGTTTATGAGTTGATCAGTATTAGCGATGTCAATTATTAGAAACTAGGATAATTATTTTATATACAGTTTAATTGGTATGATATAATTTTAAGTTTTTAGGTTCAATAGTGACTAGTTGTTTAGAACAATCGACTATAAGACACTGAATCACCAGTTTTAACTTCTCACCACTTTATCCACTTCAGTTTGGTAAAGTGGATAATATCGATGTTTTCACATTGAATAATAACACGTAAAACTCAGTAAACAGCCATGTACCAGATAAGTGAATCACACTTGAAAAAAAGTTGATCTCCACACCGGATATCAACTTGAAATTCCAAGTTTAATATTATCTTACTTTAAAATTAGTATTTAGCAGTGGTACAAGTCAGCCTGAAATGTATCTCACATCTTGCATTAATTAGCGTTGAATTGTAATAAAATGTGAATCCGGGTGACACGGGATCGAATCCGTCAGGGAGCACCAGTTCCCTCAAGATTACAGGTACAACTTGCTGACGAGTACCAAGTAGCACGAAACCCGGGTCCAGGGTTTCCTGCTGACTACCTCCAACCACCATCTAATCTAAAAATAGTGCACGCAGTGTCGAGTCACCTAAACTGGTGGCCACACTGCAACTTGGTCGATAGCATTCGATCTGCACTAATAAGGACTTGACACACATGACATTGATCACCACCCAGTGATCAATCAATTGTGATTATTTCTAAATATTCAAAAGGAGTTCACCAATAATTTAATAATCGAATTCATGAGTCTGTTGAAGCTAGACCGCCATGGAAAACTTGGAAGCAATGAACGGCCGTTTCATCCTAGTATGGGACTCCTCAGCAGTGCGCATCCACGATCCCACCCCTTGAGAGTCGAACCAAGGACCTAAAAGTCTCACGCCCGAACGCTTAACCTTTAGACTACTGAGCCAGCATTCAACGGTGTTATTATTCACCAATAGTTCATCAACAATCAACTTCATATTTCTAGAAAATTTTCCAAAACCAGTCAAATGTTTGAAATATTTTCTTGTTGTATAAAGCCAAACTTTGAAGGTGATTAAAATAAACAGAAAATAAATTTAGCATTATTATGAAAAATTGAGTATTAAAATCAAACATTCAATGGAGTTGCTATTTTGTTTTATTATTGAAAACAATTTAATAAACACATAGAAAAAAATCCATCTTAATAAAATGTAACTGATATAATGAAATTTGATTGCTAAGTATATACTTACATTTTGTGAATATTATATTCGCTAAGTTCTATTATTGATCTATAAATCTTCCATTGCCTTCTGAACTGGTAATTACCAGTATGAACGTTAAAAAAAAGCATGTGAGTTATCAAGACTTTTTCCACATGCTTCTTTATAGATTCAACGAATAACCTGGGACATGATTGGTCGTTCATAATAGATCTGATATTAATACCTTTGTCCATCATTGTATTGGTTATTTTGTTGACCTGACCTTGTAATTATTTATTGTTCATTTCATTGGCTAGTGAATAGGACTTATGTCAGTAAACATCTAAAAATTACCTTAACTCCTACGCTAGAATATCAAATGAAGATGGATTTAAATGTAGTTCTCAGTCGGAGTGGAAATATCAAATTTCAAGTTACTAATTTGTGAACCAACTCCTTTGGTAGGTGTTCTAGGGTTACTGTCGGTCCCAAGCCCACCTAAAGGAAGAGGGTTGGATATGTGGTTGGCAAACCCATCTCGTAGAAAACAACCTTGCTGAAAAAAAGGCTAACCATAATAAATACTTTAACCCACCTGAACTCTGCACTAGAAGTTGAATGGTCGACATTCAGAAGAATTATGACGTCTCATAATGAAGTCGAGATACTTCAGAATTCACGAGGCTAATGCCCATTCTAACAACTAGAGCAACAAATAATATAGGTACATGGAATGTTTGGACAATGTGTGAAACCGGAAGGTCCAATCAAGTAACTATGGAAATAAGGAGATACAACTCGGTATCAACGAAACCCATTGAACCAAAGCTGAACAGAAAAGATTATATTCGAGAGAGATGATGTTGTACTCTGATCATGAAGAAGAAAATGCTTCACACACACAGGAGTTATTCTGATGCTATCCAAAGAAGCACATAAAACATTTATAGGATGGAAATCTCATGGATCCATGATCATCAAAGCATCCTTCAAAACAAAAAAGTAGTGAGTCACAATGAATGTTATCCATTGTTATGCACTAACCGATGATAGCAACGACGACAATAAAGATCAGTTCTATAAGAGGCTGCAATCAATCATCGCAAAGTGTACAAGAAAGGACCTCACCATCCTAATGAAAGATCTAAACGTCAAAGTCGGAATAGACAACACCTGATATGAAGATATCATGGAACTGACTGAAAGAGACGAACGAGATTGGTAACAGATTTGCAAATGTATGTAGATTCAACAAAATGGTTATCGATGGCACAACATTACCACACAAACGCATGCCCAAAGCTACATGTGTCTCACTGGGTCACATCACGAAGAGCTAGATTGATCGTATTTGCATCACTAAAAAAAAATCAGATGGTCAATGGAAGACGACAGCAAGTGGAAAAAAGCATTGGGCCGACAAGCAGAAATAAGTGTAAGAAATAGCAACGACGGTGGAAAAGGCTGCTAGTGAAGGAAATATGAAAAACTATGTGGTACTACGAAGACATTAGCAGGGAGATATAGTAAACTATAGAGACCATTCAAAGGCAAAAAAGGCAAGACAATCACCGAGATTCAAGAACAGAGGAACAGATGGGTATAATACTTCGAGAAACTGTTGAATAGACCAGATCCATTGAATCCACTGGACATCGAAGAAGCACCTACAGACCATCCTCTAAATGTTACCCCACCAACTATTGAGGAAGTCAGGATGTTCATCGGAAAAATAAAAAGTGGAAAAGCAGTAGGACTTGACAACATACCAACTCAGGCACTGAAGTCAGACATAGAAATAATTGCAAACGCTCTCGATGTCCTTTTCAGCTAGATTTGGGAGGAAGAGCAAGTGTCACAGACAGACTAGAAAGAAGGATACCTCATCAAGCTATCGAAGAAAGGAGACCTGATCAAATGTGGGAACTACAGAGGCATAACACTACTGTCAGTACCAGGAAACGTTTTCGACAGAATGTTGCTGAATCGAATGAAAGACTCAGTAGACGCCCAACTTCGAGCTCAACAGGCTGGATCCCGTAATGATCGGTGGTGCACAAACTAAATCGCAACACTACGGTTCATCGTCGAATAATCAGTTGAATAGAATTCGTCATTATAAATCACCTTCATTGACCATGAGATGACATTTGACAGTGTGGACTGGAGAATATAAGGGAAACTTCTTCGACACTATGGAGCTCCTTAGACGATTGTCAACATCATCCGGCACTCATACGACGGACTACATTGCGAAGTCGTGCATGGAAGACAGCTGACAGGTTCATTCCAGTTAAGGACTGGAGTGAGACAAGACTATCTACTCTACCCCTACCTCTTTCCTCTGGTGGTTGACTGGATTATGAAGACCTCGATATCTTAAAGGGAAGCACAGAATACAATTGGCAGCTTGCATGCAACTACACAATTTTGGACTTCGAAGATGGCCTACGCCTCTTATCCCATACACACACATCAACAAATTCACATGAAAACAACTAATGTAGCAGCAGTTTCTGTATCAGTAGGCCTCAACATACACAAGACAAAAAGCAACATGATCAAATACAACACAGAGATCATCAACCCAATCACACTTGATGGGGAAACTCTATAACAGGTGGGAACTCCCACGTACTTGAACAGCAGCATTATCGATGAACAAGGAGGATCTGACGCAAACGTAAAGACGAGGACTGGAAAACCAAGGGCCATATTCCTACCATTGAAGAACATATGGAAGTCAAAACAACTGTCAAACAATATCAAAGTCACAATCTTCAATACAAACGTCAAGACAGTCCTACTGTACAGAGCTGAAACGTGGAGAACTACTACAACCATCATTCAGAAGGTACAAGTATTTATAAATAGTTGTCTACGCAAGATACTCAACATCCATTGGCCGGATACCATCAGCAACAGCCTTCTGTGGAAGACGACAAACCAGCTTCAATCTGAAGAAATAATTAGGAAAAGACTTTAAGGTGGATAGGAAATACATTGTGGAAATAGTCAAATTGCATCACAATGTAAACACTAACTTGGAATCCTGAAGGGAAACGGAAAAGAGGAAGGCCAAAGAACACAGCGTAGAGAATAGGATGCAGATATGAAAAGAATGAATAACAAGTGGAAAGAATTGCCCAGGACAGGCATTGATAGACAGTGCTGGTCGTCAGCCCATGCTCCTCCACGAGGAGTAACAGGGGTAAGGAAGCAAGATTGTGGCCCAGTAATGCATTTTATTTCATATCACTTTTTATTTTAGATGGCAACACAATTAAAAGTCACAACCTCGTTAGGGGTTTCTTTCCTAAAATTAATTATTAGATAAACGAAATGTTTACATTCAATTTTAATCATCCTTTAATCTCATTCACAAAGTAAATCAGACAAGAATGATAAATTACAGCAACGACAGAGTTCATAACTGAAGGAATTTACATGGTATGTATCAGCTACCCTAATAACATATGATAAAAAGTACAGCTGGATGACCTTGGTATCATATGATTTCAAAGGTAAATAGTTTATAATAAGATTACAACCCGTTTCACGGTATATTGGCAATAAATGAACAAGTAAATAATTCAACAGCCGAATAGTTTTAACATCTATCCATTTACATTTTCTTCTGATCGTTTGTCATTGCTAGTCTTGCAATCAGTTATTTCATACACTGTCGTTCACAATGAATTGGTTGAATAAATATTAAATTATTCATATTTTACGATGCATATAAATATTTTTTTCATAGATGAGTGATTTTCTAGTTGCCAAAAAAATCTTATTAAAGCTTACCATAGTTTACAAACACCTAGTCAATAATACAACCAATGATGTACTTGATACAGAATCAAGTGATTTTGATAAATTAATCAGTTCAATGGATGGCAGGAACAACTGCGAATTAATTTGATTGGTTGAATGCTGTCTCAGTGGTCTAGAGGTTGAGCGTTCGTGAGTAATGACGAAGCCCCTTGGTCCGAGTCTCATGAGGAGTCCCATACTAAGACAAAGAAGTTGTATAGTGATTCCAAGTTTTCAATAGTGGTCTGACTTAGATCGGTTCCCAATTTCAATGATATTCAATGGTCTTCCCTACCCTATTTGAAAATGTGAGTGGTATTCATTTTTTGTACAACTCAATAGTATCTTCCACATATAGCATGATATATATTTGAAAGAATGACAGGACAGAAATCAGAAATACGCCAAACTGAACACTATCCCTAAGTAAACTAGATCAAAACACTAGAGTTCAATGATGAAGTTTTTGAAAACAATTGTTCACTCAAACATTGTTTTTGAACACTATAGTGATTTTGAAATTATTAAACCTGATTAAACACGACTAATGATTTCACGCAGAAATACTTCGATAACATCATGTAATAAACAATGACTAAAATTTAAAGGTATACGCTTATTCCTAAATAAGTACAAATGAAAAGTATCGTAGAGATAACTGTATGTCTACGCACGGAGTTTTGTCGTTTGGATGGCTAGTAAGAATGGTTAATTGCAGGATTTATGACATAGTTTGTTTTCTGCAGTTTCATGCAGATCATAAACTATTTTTCGAGAAGCACTGAATTCCATCACACTCATTATCTGTTTATTACCTTACATCACTCCTCTGTAACACAATACTTGAAACAAATAGGAATTATTCAATTCAGCTAATAATGGTCCAGATGTAAACAGAACTGTTAGTTCTTTTCGAGTTAATTAACCGAATTCCTATCACGCTCTGATATATCCTGAAATCGTTCTTTTTCCAGCGCCGATTAATTTCGATGGATCCAAGCAATCTCACTCTATCTTGTATTGGAACCAAATATTGAATCAAGCTAGAGTCAAGGTGTATGTAAACATTTAATGCAATTACAACTTCGTTTCACATAGTGCATTGTGAAAATAACAACACTCGTAAGTTTCCAGAGAAGAAAGTCTCACAATGTACAATCATGAACCAAGAAATGTGGTGGTCGGAGTTATCTGATGAGATAAGAGTAGAAGCTTCAAACAATAACCATTAGAAGCTGTTTAGCCTCATCTGGTCAGTTACCAGTAGTAAACCTATTATCAAATAACTAGTCTGTGTGGTTTAGAACACATTAACCGGTGATTTTAAAAGCTACTTGAAACGCATAGTGGAACAGTTTGAAAATGTTTCAGCGGGTTTATTGATCTAGAAACTTCAAGCGCATCGCCCTGTGACTCATGGTTGGTGAACAGTAATCAATCTAACATAATAAAAATTTAAAGGCAATCTCAAGATTTTCTGTCCAGACAATTCACCTAGATACTCTGCAGAAATAGAGAACTAAATGAAAACTTAGGAAAAAACTGAAATCGTTTTATCTCTTTGGTTGGGAAGTTTGAGTATCTCGTCACTTGTGAGGGTGCTGGTTGTGTTGTGAAATACGAAATTAATCTAAGTATGGTGACAGCTAGAATGACTCATACGAGTCTTAACTACCTTTGGCCCTGTGTAATTTAATTTTGATCATAAAATCCGAAGTTTTATGTGTGACTGATTATGTCCAATGTTTAAGCGAACTGGCTTCTCAGAGTTGAGAACGATCCATGAAGTCAAACTGAGCTGGGCATAATTCATTCCAGATAACCACTAAGTATCGCGTTCACAAAAATCCACACTTCGTTCATAAGGCAAAATTATCCTATGTTCGACGAATTAGTTGTAAACAGTGAAAATGTTGAGTACATGATACTGGGTTTCGGTAACAAGTGGAATGATAGATAGTTCATGATGTAGAACTGAGAAACTGAAGATTAATCTATTGGGTTAATATCTATTTGCACGCTATTTTATGGATTAAATCTTATAGGTTATGTAACTGCAGTGTATAAAATTGTACTAGTTATGACGTATAATAGGAATCAACGACAAACCTATTGTCTTTTGCTTTAGTGGCTTTCAATGAATAAAATTTAGGCGCTTAAAATGAAGGAGATTTCTGGTGATTTCATTCATATTAGAACTGTATCCACTAATGTTGATTATTACCACTTTTTTTCGTATTTCCTATAGATTATTCCTTCATCTAAGCATTATTTTGTTTTGTAAATGAAAATTCTCTGCCACGCATTTGTATCAAGCAAATTCTGTATAATGGATAAAGAAGAATATTTTGATAAGTCAACTGATGCTATATCGTAAATCAGATTACTTAACAGTACGAAGAATGAATTGAGATCATAAATAATTCTTTTATGTATTTGTGTGTATGTGCGGTTAGTTGAAAGAGGACTGAAAATTGACATAGATTATGATTCAGTGACTAACTCGACAATAAAAAAATCCAACTTTATATTTATCAATAATTCATCCATAAGAATGATACTCAGAATTAGATAATACACATTCATAAAGCATAGAAGCGACCTAGATTTTACAGATTCAGCACACCAATGACTGTAGCAAACATAATATCAAAATGTAGAACTACAAACAACAAAACATTTTCATAAAATCTTTATTTATTTATTTTCGAAGTGAGAAGGCAATGAGTAGGACTTCCCTGGCAGAGGCTGTATACGCGTGGCCGTGTGAGAGTATTTCGAGAAGGAGAGCGGACTCTCCCCACTCTCGGCCGTACCAGGGCATTCGGGGGCATTCATAAAATCTACTTTGAAAAAATCACCATCCTAATATGAGACATCTAACTTTAATCAAAATTCACCCTGTTAAATAAATAAATCCTTTCAAAACGTTAATAAATAAAAATAATAATTTCCTAGGCGGAAGGTGAAATAAAAGATATAAAAGACATTATATATATATATATATATATATATATATATATATATATATATATATATATATATATATATATATATATATATATATATATATATATAAAACCGCCTACTTGTTGATGATTTTGTGATGTATCCAAATTTTTTGAAATATTTTGACCCGTTGTATCATTTAACTTTGATGGTATTGACAAAGAATATTTTCTTGTTGATGATGGTTTATTACTAGAATTTTTATGTATAAAAAAGGATAATTTATTTGAATGACTATTATGTTTTTTTGAATTCATGTCCAAATTTAATTCTTGTGCTGTTTTCAATGTCTCTATTACTATTGGATCATTAGAGATGTAACTTGTTGAAGGACTTTTCAATTTCATTCTGTAATCTTTCTAATTATTGATTATATTATATATATCTATCTTTATATTTCCTTATCTTGAATATATTTGTAAGAAGAAAAAAAACGAGACACAATTTGTAGTTTGTAATATTTTGTTTTAAATCAGTAACGTTTGTAGTAACAAATAATCATTAAATTTTGTAAATAAGCATATCATTATTAGTAATGACCATTTTCATCATAATACATTACACATATGTATATATATATATATATATTTGGTAACAAATTCAAATCAACTATTTGTTATAAATCATTTATGATTATAATTATGATTTGCTTTTCTGGTGTTTTATTAATCTATATGGTTTTTTCTTTCAATATTCAAATTTATTATCCATTCTTAGCTAATCAGAATTAGCTATGGTCACATGACAACAGCTTATATGAATAATTCAACCAATCATAATGCAGCTATTTCAACTTGGATATTTTTACTTTTTAAAAATCTAAATAAACACCATGTAAAAATATAAAATGATATGATGATTTAAATGTTTATTATTAAACTTAATTAAAGATTGAATATTGCTATTATATTCTGTTGATCATTAATGTATTTCAAAGGTGATATTAACAATCTGTTAACTCCGCCTGGAGTCCCTCCGGGGGGCTACTGCTGGTCCTAAGGCCGGATAAAGGAGGAGGGTTGTGCATGGGGTTAGAGTCCCCATCCCGTATAAAACTAACTCGCTAAAAAAATTATTGAAACCTTTTAAACTCTGCCCTGGGAGTCAGAAGGTCTTCATTTCTAAGAACTATGACGCGTCATGATGAAAGCCGGATTCCTTCGGAAGTTACGAGGCCGATGCCCCTTCTGATAACCAGAGCAACCATTTATTTAGGTACATGGAATGTTCGAATTAGCAATCTGTTGATGTTAATGCAGTGAAAATGTTTTCCCTTAAAAAAGATTGATTTTTAATTCATGATATTGTAAATTGGTGGTACTTTGGAATATTAAGCCTTTTGTAAAACTGTGTGAAAACATAAATAATTGTCTTTCTTCTGTTCCACAAGTATTGATTCGGTACATACACGAGGGACGGTCTGTATCCACGATTAAAGATGCTTCATTGTTAATTATTGAGAGTCATAATAATGTTGTACAAATAAACAAGTATAACAGTCACGTAATATATAGTTAGACAGTTCTCTAATCTCTATAATCGGATTATTTTTGAAACATGATCGGCTGGATCTAAGCTCCTCTTCAATAACCGTGACATTACTTTCGTTACCATATTAATTTTCTTATTTTCTAACGATGAATTTTGGAAATCTACTAGTGTAATAAGAAAAACACTAATTAATTACTGAGTTCCCACGCTTATATGTTTTGTTCTAATTAATGAGTTGCTCAAACATTCTACCTTCAACCAGTAGAACAATGTGTCAACATTTGCTATGGCAACCTGAATTTTATCGGATGAACAATATGTCTAATAAACAAAAATGTACGTTATTACCTAGTTCTTTTCATCATCTGTAGTATATATTTGTCTTCTGGTCAAATTTGACTGTTCTATTCAATTAGTTGTAGATACTCCTGTAATCAATAAAAATTTATTTTAGATTGAAGTACAATTGCATCATACTAATGAAAAAAACAGGATCTCGGTTAATATCTTTATACTACCTGAACTAACTTGGTGATCATCTAAACCTAATAGCATACTAAATAACAACTTGAAGTTCCAAGTGATAGGTACTGGAGTAAATTCTACGTGTGCATGTGGACGTCGAAATTGAACTGCATATATATTCAGCTGACAGACCTAGAATAGAATCAAACATGCATATTGGATACAGTGTTAGCTATAATCCAAAAAAGATATTTATTTTGATTGAAAAAAACTTAATCGATACCTACAATAGACATCGGTAGTTTAAAATTAATGTAAAATGAAACTATCTAATTAAAGAGTGGGGTTTGAAATCCCCTCAAAAGCCCTTAACTCGCATCAACGTTTTAGCTTGATGTTCTTTAGTAAATCTATGTATGATGATTAGGAGTATTTGAATTATAGTACAAATTAAGAATCCCAGAAATAACGCAATTGGATCAAGAAGTACTAGATAACCACAAACGAATGTACTGTATTTGGAATTCGTAATCAAGCATTCAACAAGTACAAAGGAATCATCAGTTCATTCAGACACCACACTACTTTTATAAATAAGCTTAAAGATAAGTTCACTCATCTGACTACTTCAATATGCATAAATCAATTCATTTGCTTCTGTAAAGCTAGGACCATTAATGGTTAAAAGCATACTCTTTCTACGAGTGTTCAAGAATGTAATACTGGGTAGTTGAAAAGCGATAGTACTGCATTAGTAAGAAAGTCAATAATTACATATCATATCAACACAGACTATCTGATTAAAAAAGGCTCATCAATCAATGTTTACTACACAAAGACCTAAACATAATGTACTTCCGTCTTCTTTGAGTTGGTAAAGCCTTAATCATACAGTTAGAGAAGCCAGAGCTATGTACACAGAAACCACTAATTTTTTTCAGAATTATTACTTTCTCTCCTACTATACTAATTCTTCACCTTTTATTTATTTCCCTTCTCATGCTTTTTCCGATTACAATTCATTCTCAAGTAATCTTATTATATAAAGCAATTCTTTTAATCTCGTTTCTGTAATGTCCTTTATCAATATTCATATTCTTAACTACTATAATTTCAATATCATGACTGGAATAACACTTTTCAGCTTTTGTTTATTCTGCTTCATTGTTACTATGTTTTATAAATAATTATTAGTAAGTTATCTAGTAATCTTGTTGACAAAAGTATATATGTGCGATTGCGAAGACTTGCGAATTCATTCACCGGTCAGTGATATCATCATTGAAAGACTATTTCTTGTTAGACCCCTTAATGAGTGTTTTTTATTGTTTAAGAACTGTGAGGACCCTCCGAGAGTAAAACGCCCTTATAAAGTTGTTTTTTCAGGTTTGATGAGGGAAAAATAAAAGTAAGCTTACTTAGTGATTGGATAAAGTCACGTGAATATTCATGGTGGTAACGGAAAAAAACTTCATAGGTATCATACACAAAACAGTGTTGACTCCATGCCCTCGTGTATCATAGAACTTAACCAAAGCATATCGCTAAGATCTCCAGTACTATACCAATCATTACGGAGTGGATGTATGAATATGACGTGACAATTGTTTGTAACTGTTCTGGATCTTTACTCTTAAATCCTACTGAAAGCCATAAGAACTCAACACCAATTTCCAATTAATATTGAGAGGTATGTTTTCAATCATTCATTTATAAACTTTACGACAAGAGACTATCTGCAAAGAAGCCCTACGTGAATCAAAAATATCCACAGTCGATCGATTGGATTCGACCAGCATTAGGATCAGGAAAGCTTGTCACATGTTGTCTTTTAGTGACGAATTAGTGCAAAATGACAATGAACATATTGAGATGGCGGAGAAGATTTGTATCTCAGGTGAATGATTTTGATGGAGTTTTGTCCTCTGAGCTGGATGGTTTGGTCGTGGAGCTTTCACTGTTATTATGAACGACATCATCAGCACAAACTTCAGACGCAAGAACACTTCATTCCTACCTGAAGTTTGTGCTGATGATGTCGTTCATAATAACAATGAAAGCTCCACGACCAAACCATCCAGCTCAGAGAACAAAAGTTCATCAAGATGAACATTTTAACAAGAAAGTTTATGACCACTGATTGGTGTATTAATTAAATGCACAATTTTTACAATTCATCGATTCAGTTGCTTTTTTTTCTTACGTACATTAGTATTTAAATCATGCTTTAATTTATGCCAAATAAATTAACACATTTCAGACAGTGTTTTGTTTACTTCTAAACAGGAAGTACTTTTTCTACTCTTCAAGCAAAACAACAGTAAAATGAATATATAAATATGGATAACAACTTTTGAATAATATTTCAAACTTTTCATTAAAATCAAGCCCAGATGCAAGTTTTATGCAATCAATTGACCTTAAGCTATATCGCGTAATTCTTGAATAACCTTGAACTTGAAACTTATCATTCCGATCAAACTAATTTCAATGTTATCTCAATGTTTTAAGATTTATATGCCTTGAACCCTTGATAGCTAACTATGCAGGAATAAATTATGCCAGTCTATTCATCTTTTTTTTTATGTCCAACATAGGTGCAATATCTAGCATTTTCGAGCATTTTTCGGTTCACTTAGAGGATCAGCTCTGAATATAAGAACATTACTTTTACAGATTTCATTCCAACCATATAAAGCCCTTTACATATGTATACTAATTACAAGTCACTCTATCCTACATATATATAATATTAATCCAATCAACCTGTCAGTTAACATGTAAATTAATATTCAGGGTAATCCCAGTCACAAACTACTTCACTAGTACGGACAAACCACCGTAGTACTAATCACTTTAGCCAAATAATGAAGCATTACAAAGTGATAGTTTGTTCAATAATCAGAACCACTTACATTAAAAGTCAACTTGAAACTCATCAATAAAGAATATGTTACTTAAGATCTATGCTACAAATCACTCGTGTATTCAAAGTTTCTTCAACAAGATGTCCTTAACATTGCACATAATCACAGAAATCACTCTTTTAGTTTCAAGTTTCTTAAAATGAACATTTCAGAAATAACAATTCATATGAGCACAAAACTAGTCACTTATCAATTCTTGTATCACTATAGTATACAGCTTAACCTTACAGAATAGGAAATAAACCTGACTCTTTTTAGTGTTTAAAACAATTTAATTTCAACTATTTGTTTATTCTCTTGTTCATGTTGATTTTCTAAAACTTGACTATTAAATGAGACCATCTGCTCATCTCAACATTATCGGTAGAAGTAACCCTTTCAATATGGTTCTGATCTCAACGTAATTTTAATTGGCTCATCAAATTAAATAATCGGCCTGACAACTAAATTTTTTTTTAAAAAAATAGTTTATCCATTGAAAATTTAGAAGAAAAAAACTATTTTTTTTTCATAGACAGTTCGTCACTATCATAATTTTAAAAGGATCAACGATTCACTTACGACATATACGTAATTCTTTTTTTTCCGTTTTCATTTTATGAAATAATGAATATTCAATTTGATCTTAATTTATACAAACTTTATTCACATTGTAAATTACACTTTTGATTTATTGAAATTTCAAAAGCGTTTCTCTTTCTTTTTTTTTACTCGTTCTCTGTCTCTCTGTCTCTCCCCCCACACACACTCTCTCTCTTTTTTTTGGAATTTTCAACTAATTTGTTTTAATTAT